CCCTGCCTATCACTCTCAAGTGGTATTGCAAATGTCTCTTCTGATATTTTTACATTCTGAACTTGCAAATCAGCTTTCACATTTCATGCTAAGATACTTGAACATGGTTCTTTTCTCATTTACATCACACTGGATAACATGCGCATCCATCCCATTTCCCTTTGGTATTCCCACACCTTTTGCTACAGCATACATTATAAAGAAACACAGCAAGTCACTTATTTTCATAAAACATGTACCTCTTCCAAGCAAGAAACGAGAAAGCAGCCCTTTAAAAAATGAGCATTTTTTACTTTCTCTTCTTGTTTGAGTAAGAAAGCTCCAAATGCTAAGTGTCTGTGAAGCTGCAAGTTACATCATGTGTCATCCCTGGATAATAATAACTTCTACAGGTAGCAAATGATAAGTGATACAATGCCATACTCACCTTTCCTATCTTTATGCAGGAATTAATAGTATCTAGGAAATCAGCTTTTTTTTCATTTATAGGCACTTCTGTTAATTCCTTTCCTATTAGTTCACCTATTTGATAGCCCATCACTGTTTCAAAAGCAGGATTGACGTACTGTGAAATAAAAACAAACAAAAAACCATTCAACAGAATTCTTAAAGCACAACAGAATCCCTTTTTTTTCCTACTTCCTAAACCTAGGGATCTCTTTCCGAGCCTGAAATAGATCTCTGTATGTACTCGCCTGAGAGAGATGCCTAAATTTTTTTCTTTGTGAAGCAAAACCGTAATGTCCATGCTAGAAGAGTTGTGCAGTGTGTGTTCATGTGAGCAAAGACAGGGAAATTATGGAAACATCTGAGTATTACACAACCACAAAGTTTAGACAGACAACAAAAATTCCTGAAAAATGAGCTTTGTCAGTTCTCAAACCTATAAACCTCAACCCTACCTCAATGTTCCTAAAAATCACAAATTAGATGGTGGGATACCATAGAAATATTGGCTGAGTTACTGACATAACTGTCGTAACAGCATCCGAATGCCTCACAACTTACAATGTTTCAATATGAGAGAAATTAAAAGGGTGCCACTGCATGCTCTCTGCTCCTAAATGTTCTCCCCTAAAGGTTCCTTCCAAAAGGTTCCTCCCCTCTGTGAGAAAGCCCTGCCTGCTGGAGCTCCAGGACTCTTACACATGTTGGTTCTCTCATATTCTGGGGCTGTCAGCAGAGGGACAAAATTTGGTCTGAAAAAATAGATTTAAAACAACTTCAGGATGTGTTCTGTTATTTTTGTAAAAGGGATGAAGAAGACACATCCTTCAATGAAACTGCCATTGTCAAGATTTGGGTCAGGAGGGTACAATTTATATGCATGTTCTAACTCCCAGCGGCTTAGATTCAAGCTCTTTACTGATAATAAAATCACTCCCCAGAGCCTTCATAGTTAGGGATAGAACTAACTCCCTCATAAAGATTACATTTTTCAGGACTGCAAACCTAAGCACAATTTCTTTTCCCTCTTTTAAAGAAATTTTGAAGAGAGGATTACATTAAAAAATGGTTGGCCCACAAATTCTGCTGCATCAAACAGTATCAGATTTAAGCAAAAAAAAAAAAAAAGCGTACTACCTGTATTTAAATAGAACATCAATTAGATTTGCTTTTCAAGAGCATCAAATTAACATACAGTATTTTTGGAGAAGAATACAAACCACTGTCTGCATTCATTCATGACATAAAAGAATCATTACAAAAAATAAAAACAAGAGAGTAAATCCTTATTCATTCAGAAACAACAATCTCCCTTAAAATTGACTTGATTTATGCAAGAGATTTTAAATGGAGAAAATTCTGCTCTACAGCCAAATTCATTCCAGTCTTTTTAGAACCATTAAGTTAGGTTAGATTGTTATACTGTAAGAAAGAGTAAATGTAATCATGATGAAATAAAATACTGTCAGCCCACAGAGCAATTTTCTGTACTTATAAAAATAACTGGAACAAACCTGTATTACATGGTCTTCACTTGTGATCTCAATGGCTTCTTGACTTTTCTCTAATGCTGTAAATAATGAATTACACGCCCTGGAGACAAAACAAAAAAAAGCATCTGATTAAGTTTAATCCATGTAATTCTTATTGTATATGACAATAAGGTATTGCAACTCTATACTGAATGAAGTTGTACTTTAATAATTAACATTTTCTTCAACTAACATTATAGAATGTCAACTGACATTCTATAATTAACTACAGTACAGTAAAATAAATACTCTTTTAAGGATGTGGCTGAATTGGCATTTTTTTGTTGATAATGTTTTTGGTAAAATTACCTTAGTTTGAATTGTGCCTGCACCTCTCCAAATTCCAGCTGAATCAACTCATTGTAACAGGCCATTATATTAGAATTTTCTACATATCGCTGCAAATGAAAGGTTAGAAATATTTCATTAATACACATTTCTGTACTCAAGAGTATGAAGCTGTTTTCTTTTGCTTGATAAGGAACTAAAAAGGAGTAGATATCCCAAAAATGATCATGTTGTAACACAAGCAACACGGGAAGATTATTTTCTGGGACTAGTAAAATTCTTCAGGTTACTGCATTTTGAAAAGGTGACAGATCCTCATGGCAATGAGGTTCAACCAATTTGTTTATTCTCTGTAATTGTCAGCATAATCAATACATTAAAAAATGTACTTTTCATGACGTTATATTCTTCCATGCTACTTATTTAAAATAACAGTGAAAAAATTATGTTGTGTCTCAAGTCATCAAAATTTGAGATGAGTTTCCAATTGCTAATACTCCAAATTATATACATAGAAGAAAGCAAAACTTCCTGACAAATATACCTGCCATTGGATACAATCATTCATTCTGGGGCTTGTATATCAATGACCTCAGTATCTTTGATGTTTTTTTTAAAACATCTCATATTTACCAGGTATGAGCCTGAATGTTAAGTCTTTGTTCCTGCTAAACTGCCACAGACATTGATAGTTTGGGAGGAAAGATCGATTATCAAAGGTAAGCCACATCAAGGCTGCTAAACAAAATTTTCTACGTTTTGCCATTAGCCCTATCTCCAAGGCTCTGATCCATAAATAATTCAGAACCCGTGTTGGATTACTTATGTGCCCACTGGAATGACTCTGTACATGTAAGTACAGTTATTTTCAGGCTCTAGCATATCCTGCATTAGGACCTTAGTACAAAGAAGCAAATAAGTGCAAATGGACTGTGATGGGATAGCAAAAAATCTGGTGAGTATGCAACCAAATACTCTGAATCACACTGTAAATCATGCACATTTTTGTTCCGTTGTCAGCTTAAAGCAATCAGGAATCCACTTAACTGACACGCTAATAAGCACCTTTCCTGCTTAATTGGAATAGTTGCCAAGGAACAGATTCAATGTAATACTTTTCAGGTGTCTCCAAACAATAGATAATAGCACTTGACAGTGTCTGGAGCTTGTTTACAGATGTGAATTGGCGTTTGATAAAAGAGATTTCCCACAGCACATTCTGTTGTTCACTGCAAGCTACTCTCTGGCTCTGCTACAGTCACTTGTCAATTTTGTCAATGTCAACTTTTCAAGCAGAGCATCATATATTTACTCTGGTGTAAAGTACAAAAGTCTCAGCACCACTTCTTATATTCCTGAGAATTTCCACCTCCTTAGTCAGTGCTATTCTAATTCTACTGGTATATGGTAGTTCAGAATTGGGATATATGTAAGAATGAGCAGCATGAACAAGATTTACAGGTTGAATTACAACAGAAACGGTCACTGACAGCCAAACTTCAGGATAGTTTCTTGCACGACAATTTTGAAATGTCAGAGCAACCTAGTGGAGTATAACACATACATACCCTTGTAAAGCCAGCAGAGATCAGGGGCAATATTGATGACTCTTCACGATCAGCGTGCCTTTTAAAGAAGGATTATAAAGTCAGAGATTATTTCTGTAATCAACTGAGACCCAATTTCACAAGCCATTGACATACCTGTAGCCCAATGTCACACTAAAAGCTAATATGGCTAAACCCTTACAGGATCTATAAATAAAACTTACTTTCTGTGTTTTTTATAAGCTTTCATCTTTGGCATGGATAAGCCAAAATGTTATTTTCCTTTTTGCATGTAATGAGCTGCTTACATCACAAAAAAATAATGCTTCAAGAAAACAAATTAGCTACCTACATTGCTGGACTATTCCTGCTTTTTCAGTACTGGATTCTTTGTTGTTTATGTTGTCCTTAGTCAAAGACGCACTTGAAAGTCCACATGGCCAAAGTTTTAAGAAATTACTTGTTTATCTGAGTGTACCAAATCTTAGATGGGCAGCTCAAGATGCCTGAATGAAGATGGATTTTCTAGTGTTGCCTACCCAGTGGTCTAGTCTAGTTCTAGTTCTAGTAGGTCACTTCAGTATGACATACTCCTAAAATGAGATATCTGAATAATTTTTTAAAACTTGGCTATACTAACTGTTAAAAGACATTCCAACATACGTGAATGTATGGCTGGAATCTGGAAGAAAGGCCATTATGTTAAGTTTCTGTAAATGAGCTGATGGAAGCTGATCAGGCTTAGCAGATCACAGAATCACTAGGTTGGAAAGGA